CCAGGCAACTCGATTAAATTTAAATTACTTTCAATTTTCTTGCTTTTCTAGTTTTTTTTGCTTCTTCTTCTTCTTTTGCGTTACTTCTTTCACTCTTTGCCTGCTTCTAAGTTAGTTATTTTATTTTAACGAGATTCAGTTAAATTCTGAATAAATCATTCATCATCATCATTATCATTTCTTCTTCTTTTTTTTCATTCATTCTCCTCCTTCTGAATCAAAGGCAAATTAACTCCGCCTTGGGTAACCCTTTGTGTTTTCATTTTAATTGCTTTATTCATTTACAATGTTTTCCTTCAAATCTAATCAGATGGGAAAGAGTTGATTAACTCTCAATATCAGTTTATTATTGGAATCATTTTTTTCAAGTTTGCCTCTGAATTTTTTCATTTTGTAAAACCTTGAAAAGTGAAGAAAAAGAAAAATGAGAAAAGTTTTTTCAACTTTTCATGTTTACTGTCCATTGAACCGATCAATGAATTTTTAATGAACTTAAATGGAATGAAAAGAGTTGATCAATTTAGATAATTTTGATTATTCAAAGTTCCCGATTTACGCAATGATTGATGATGATTGATGGAAACGGAAAAGGAAATAATTTCATCGAAGGTTTGTCCTGGAAAAGAAAGCAAACAAAAGGCAATTTTCATGTTAAATGCAAGCTCAAGATGAAAGCTAAAAGCAAAGCGTAAGATGGAGCGTAAGATGAAGCTAAAGATGAGGATGAAAATGATTAACTTGGTGAGTGGAAGGATAAAGAGAGAGAGAGAGAAAAGTGAAAAAGTAAAATACATTGTAAACAGAAGAGTAAAGATGAGGGAATAAAAGACGGAGAGAAATGATTAGAATGGGAAAGATGGAGAAATGCAGTTAATTATCATTTTCTGTATCAAACTTTACTCTTAATTTAGCTGGTTAATCTTTCATCATCAACCTGATCATCTTTACCCTTTTCAACTGCATTGATACTAACAAGGTAAACATGAACTTGAGTTGACCTTATTTTGCATATCACAATTGAGTCTTGATTCAACATTAAACTCCTTCATGCTCATAATCATCTTTTTCCTGTTCATCTCTTAACCTCTAATTTCCCTAAACTTCCCTCTTTGAATATCAATTTGTAAAAATGCATTTCTCTCAGAACAAGAAGAAGAAGAAGAAAACACTTTTTCCTCTTTTCCTCTCCTCATCACTCGACATCCTCATCTTTACTTATTAACGCATCTTTTCCTTCTTCTCTTCCCAATTCCCCTTTTACCAAATATCATTTCAAAACTGGTCAATTATATTTATATGTCAATAAAGCTTTTTGGTTCAACTTTTAATGTTACTCTCATGACAATTGTATGTGTCACTATGGCCATGTTGACCAAACCCAATTGTCCATCAACTTTTTCCATCTTATTTCTTCTTCTATTGATCATTGTTGATAATCATAACAATCGGTCACCTTATAGTGACAAATCTCTTTCCATCCTTTTCTCTTGACCAACTAAAAGGGTGATCAAGTTTGATTCGTTAAATGACATCAAAAATGATGAACAACATTTAATCATTATCATCTTGCCGTCATCTTTTTGATCCTTTTTTTTCGCCCATCATTCAATTTATTTCTCATTATGAGATGAAAAATGTTTCGATCTGAAATCAGTCAACTCGAGTTAAATATAATGTAATGATTTTACCAAAAGATGATTTCATCTAAACCTTTTTACTCTCGTCATTGTTTCATTTTCATTATTGTCATTCATCAGATTACAAATTATCGTTTAAAGATGAAGGAAAATGATTTTTTTTCTTCTTTGCTTTCTTTCCATTCTTGTCCATTCATTGATATTGACTCTAAGTGCACTGGACATGAAAATGTTGAGAGACAAAAATTTATCATCAAAAAAAAAGGTCAAGAGAAGAGCAAAACGATGATGAAAAGATGGCGAAGGAAAACAAAAGATGAAACAAAGTTAATATTATTAGATGTGGATGGATAAAGTTAACACCAAAATACATATAATACGATGATAGAACATCATTTTTATCTTGAACAACTTCTACTCTGAGAGAGTGAAAATCATCATCATCAATGTAACATCCTAATGAAAATATATTGGTTTTCCTCTCTTCATCATTTTCCCTGCAAACCCATTCAATTTGATGTCCAGTCAATGGGATAAATATGGTTCTGTATAAGAGAAGAGTACAAAAATTGTCTTTCATCAAACAGATTATTATTGCAAACGTCAACTAAACTTCAGTTAAAGCTATAGCAGAAGAAAAAATATAAGATGATGATGATGATAAAAGGAGAAAATTTTAAGCTTATCACTCCCTTATGAATTGAAACAATGGAAATATAGCATTTTGATCGACTCCAAATCCTTTGCTCAAAAATATTGTATCCATTATGATAATATGAAAGTGTCGATCAAATCATTTCTCAATTTTAGGGCCGTATTCACCAACCGAGTTTAAGCTTGATTCGGAGATCAAACTGATTAATCTTAGCTTTTTTGTTTCACCAATTGAAATTAAAATTTGATCTCAGATCACACTTAAGCTAAGATCTCAGCTGATCAAACTAATCTTGAAATCATTTTTTTTTATTTCACCAACCGAAATTATTTAAGCCGATATTAAAATGTTTATTCACCAACTCGGATCATGCTCAATTTGATCCTAGATATTGATCAAGTGTGGATCAAAATTTGATCTTGGTAATTACCAAGATCATCTCCTTGATCTCGACTTGTCTTTTCATTTGCATGTGCTTTTTCTTGATCTTTGAGTGAAAATTAATTAAGTTTTTTCCTAAATTTCTGAAAAATGGATGAATATCTATTCGCTTTTGGTTTTCGCCAGCGTAGAAATCCTCAAAGAAGAACAATATTACCGAAAAATGACCTTCTTGTACTGTTGAACTGCTCATAGTTGAACACACAGAGCGAGATTGACCCTAATGATGCAAGTTTTGATTACAGAGTTTTGGTAACAAATGATGCGTTGACATATTAATTAGAGACTTGAATAGCAGAATAAGAAGAAAAAATGAAAAGGAAAAAAATATTGCAAACTTTAACGAAGTGAAATATTTTGCTTTTATTGTAACTTGGAAAGATGGGAGGAAGATGCTTGATGATTGTGATGATAACGATCGCCTTCATCATCATCATCATTTTCTTCTCGAATGACCGAATTTGAGGCTTTCTTTTGTCCCTTCCTTTTCTCTCTCTCTTTTCATTCCAAATCTAAAGTGACAAAAATGATAGAATTTTATATTTCCCTGTTTCTCCTCTTAATCACTCTTCCTTTCTCATCATCATCATCGCCAGAAAAGATGACAAAAAAAGGAAAATTTTAAAACTATTATTACTGTCGAGGTTCACCTTTTCAACTTTCATTATTGATATTATTATCAATAAATTTGATAATTTGATCTGATTAACCTTCAATCAAATCACATTACATTTTTCATTTGGAAACCTTTTTTTAGAGAAGAAGAAAAGAACGAAAAAAAACAATTTTCCAAACTCTCGGTTCATTTACAATTTATCATGAAATGTCCACTTTGAACTTGGGTCAGCTTTTATTGAATTTTTGTCACTCTTTTTGCTCTTAAGAATGATGACGATTCACTTTCTGTAATTCAAGAACAGTGTTTACTTTGAATGGAAATGTTCAAATAAAAAACTTTCAACAACATGATTAACATGAAATGCATTTTGAATAATAATTCAATTTTTGCAATTATTTTTCTTCTCCTTCAAATAATGCAAATCATTTATTCATTTATTATCATCAAAAACAATTGTAAGCATTTTAATGAAGCAACTTATTCATCGATATTGAACAAAAACTTTGTTTAATCAACTGAACTCGAGTTAAATGTTTACCGAGTTTTAGTAGTTTTTTGGTCAAATAATAATTTCTCAATGAATTTAAAGTCTTTTGTGTCTTCGGTTGTTTTGCATTTTGTTATTCAATTACAAGGTGAACTTTGATGTCCGATTAAGGCTGATGTTTCAAGTTTATTTCATTGATTGACAAAATGATCTAGTTGACTGGTTCATGGCTGTGTGCCATGAGTGTGTTACTCTTGATACGCCTTCACTTTGTACAAGGTGTACAGCCTAAGTAACTCATGGTCATTCGGGTTCACTCATGTAGGCAAGTTGATGAGTTGACAGTAAATATTGTATTAAAATCATATCAAATTGCTGTTGAAGGAGAGAGCAAAAAATTGGTGAAAAAAGTTGAACAATTTATTTCTCTTGTCGTAACTTTTTTTGACCTTTTCCTATTAAATTGAAACTTTTTTTGTTACTTCTTCTTCTTTCCACTTTATATTAAAGATGTTATTGAACACTTTGACAATTTCGTGGGAATCAAAGCAGAGCAAAGGTGAAGACAAAAAGTGATGATTTTGATGAAGAAAGGGAGAGACCAGGTTAGAAGGAGGATGAAAGTGAAAAAAACGAACAGGAAAAGAGGGCAAAAAAAGGTATCCATAGAGTTCAAGAGTCCCTGTCAACCATATGCTCATTGAGGATCAATTATTGTCATTAGTTTGATTGTTTAACACTATCGATATAATTATTGGCCTTTCAACGGAAAACGATCAAAAGAGAACCGAAGTTGACCATAGCTTCCGTTTATCGAGTGATTTACCTTTAAATCTAAATCTACTCATGAGTGTTGATCATCTTTCACCCGTGATTCCTATTTCATTAAAAAGAAGAAGAAAAATGTCCAAAAAATGAACTTATTTTTACACTTTTACAATTTCATCGGTTTACTGCTTATCTGTTTCACCTTTTGACTTTTCCTCTGGAAAATAATTTCTCAATATTTACATGAAATCAGACATTCACTTTAATCATTTGAAACTCTCTCTCTGTTTAACCAGCTTTTCAGGTGAAAAATGATAAAAGATGAGAAAAGAAGAAAAAATTTTTCAACTTGGAATTGAATTTTAATCGAAATTTTTTTTCTCCATTTTACAGTTTCTGGTCCACTCGTAGTAAACTCATCTGATGATGATGAAGGTGATGATAAATGTTCAAATGGTGGCGATGGCTATGAATCGTCAAGTTCAACCATTGATGAACCTCATCCATTAATGATGAGTTCACCTTTACCTGAAAATGAAATGGATAACAATTGCAACACTAATAGTAACCTGATTGGCAACACTGATAACTTGACTTCAAAGTTGATTAATGAAAATTTAAATAATCTTATAGGGAACACTGGTTCAACCTCTAGTAATAGTAATTTAAATAATTTAAATTGTAATATTAACTCATTGTCATCACCTTTAACCTCATCAAGTTTATCATCAGGCAACAATCCAAAGCTTTCAGGTGGCTTCAATTTTGGTTCACTTTTCCCTGGAATTGAATTATCTGATATTCAGGTAATCTCGGAGCAACTTGAAAACACCAAGGTTGCAATAGGTCAACAGCGTATCAACCCAACAACCCTTGAATCGGGAAACCTTTTAGTTTCAGGTTCAGGTCAACTTTCACCGCTATCAGCCTTACAGGCATCACTTTTATCAGGCAATGTAAACATGGCTGCAATAGCTGCTGCAATTGCTGCTGCCTCATCAACGGCAACAGCATCAACACCAACAACAACAACAACCTCATCCAATTCATTATCAACTGCATTAAATCAATTATCGTCTTTAGCCTCACCAGTAGCAGTTGCTTCAACGGCAACCTCAACACCAACAACACCAACTTTAACCTCATCAATGGGACAACAACAGCAAATGGCTTTACTTCAAACAGTCTTTAAACAAGTAAGTTAAACAATTGACCTTTAATGGTCAAACCCTCTAAATAGACTTTAATTGAGCCAAAAATTCGCAAAAATTTTCGATTCTATTTTTAATAGAAAAAAGTTGAGGGTAAAAGAAAAAGGTTTACCTTGTAATTTTTTATTCATTATAGAAATACAATTTTGTCTATTTTTCTACTCTCCATTCATCATTGTTTATCATCATCATCATTACCAACGTAATCATCATAATCATTGGTATCATCAGTGTTAATGGTGTTTTAACGTGCTGTTAATTTCATGCCTTTACTCTTTACCTTTTTACTGTTAGTCTAATGAAGCAAGAATCAAACTAAGCTTGTAATAATAGTACAATCATGTGAACGCAGGAAGAAGATGAAGATGAAGATGATGAAAAATGATGATACAGTAAAGAGCAACTGTTACGGTGTAACGTGTTAAAGTGCTCAAGATAATACCTTTTACCTTTTTTTCCCTTCTTCTTACCTGACTAACTCTAACCTTTTGTATGCAAAACTAAACAAGCATTAAATGTAAACATATTCATATTATTTATTTTTTATGACTTTTCCTCAACTTACCTGGTTAGAAAAGGTAATGATCTTGTTGACTTTTGTCAGAATTGAAGCAACCTCTAACGATAAATTAACGAAGAAAAGTTTCTCTTAATGATAGACTATCCATTTTTCATCATCATTGTCATCATGATAATCACTTTTCTAACCTATTCTTTTCTCTTTTTTCCCTTTTCTTTTTTTCAAATAATTTTTTTGCTTCTTCCACCGAAAAAAATAACACAAAATAATAATCAACGTAATTGCGTTAACAGCTTTTAGCCCAAATTACCAGTAACGGAGGAGAGGTAGGAGGTGGTGGTGGTCTAACCTCATCATCACCATCATCAACTTCATCATCATTATCACCAACAGTATTACAAGGTTTACCCTTTTTGAAGCCACCAATGGCTCAATTGGCAGCCGCAGTTGCAGCCGCAGCAACACCGTCACAGTCATTATTATCATCGGTAAACTCGACTTCATCCGCATCAAACCTTGTCTCACCTTCACTTGGATCAATACCAAAGGGAATGCCTTTTTCAGTTTCATCTCTATGTGATCCAGGCAAACTTGATCAGGATCATATTAACTCAAAAGGTGAGGATGATGATGAGGAGGAGGAAGAAGATGAAGATTTGTGTGAAGAGGGAGAAGATGCAATAATTGGTAGAAGCTCACCTGCATCTTCATTATCATCCAGTTCATCCTTGTCTCCATTAAATTATCATCAATCTCATTCTTCGAGAAACAATTTAAACAATTTAACTCGACGCAATTCTCATCATCGTTCATCGTACCATTCATCCTCTTCCCATCGGCACTCTCGTCCATCTCATCGATCCTCTCGTAACCGTCGCATGGGCACACCTGATAATCAAATGGACTGTGAACCAACTGATGAAGGTAAATGTTTTTCACTTTTCGTTTTTGTTTAAAATAGAACATTTGATTCGAAGTCATTTGCATAATTTTTCCATAACTAATGTTTATTTTTGTCATTCTTGTCATTCTTGACTCTCTTCAGATGCACCTTTAAATGCTTCAGTAAGTTCAACCACATTAGCAACCGGAAACGGAGGTTCATTAGGATTGCCTGATGATATCGATAAAAGCATTCCATTGGGTCCAAGTGACATTCCACCGCCACCTTCACCAAGTGGACCCAATACATTAGAGTTGTTACAGCGACACACCGAAAAGGCACTTCAAAATACTATGCAGGGCAGTTCGTTTCTTATGAATGGCCTGTCTGACCTGGAAGGTTCCGAGTTTTTAAAGTTTCGCAAAGACGGTAAAGAGGATTCCAATTATCGGCATCGATGTAGATTCTGTGGTAAAGCTTTTGGCTCCGATTCCGCTCTACAGATACACATTCGTTCGCACACCGGAGAGAAGCCCTTTAAGTGCAATGTTTGTGGCAATCGCTTCTCAACCAAGGGTAACCTCAAGGTTCACTTTGAACGGCATAAGGACAGGTACTTGGATATGCACGACTCTGAGGGTGATGAGGATAGAACCAATGACAACTCCAATGCTGGCCTGTGCAACAACGGCAACAGTAATGCTAGTTCAAGTCTAAACCTAGCACATCATTTTAGCAACAGCAATATGAGCAGTGTTCATGCAAACACCGGTATGAATGACAGGGATGATGAGGAAGAAGAAGATCAAGATGATGACGATTCAATTGGTTCATCGGCGACACACTTTGCTTCATGTTCCCCTCCTCGAGTATCATCATCTTCACCCAGCACCATGACAACTCCTTCATTTGTCGGTCTTTCCCTATCGACACCAACCACAACCAACAACAGTATAAACGCCAGTTTAACTTCAGGACCAACCACAACGGTAGCCACAACATTCTCATCGACTCTTGCCGCTCCCTCAATCAGTCCGTCAACACCTTCCATACTCAGTGGTGGTTTAAAGGCAGGTTCAGGAGGCGGTGAACCAAGTGCACCTGGATCATCATTAGCTGCATCATCTTCATCGGGTTCGGCTGGAGCACCGGGAGTTCTTCCTGATCCAAACTTTTATCAAGATCTTTTGCCCAAACCTGGAAGTGCTGATAATTCATGGGAAAGTTTAATGGAAATTCAAAAAGCCTCTGAAACTCACAAACTTCAACAACTGGTTGACAATATTGAACACAAGTTAAGTGATCCAAATCAATGTGTAATCTGTCATCGTGTCCTCTCTTGTAAATCAGCCCTTCAAATGCACTATCGAACTCACACGGGAGAGCGACCCTTTAAGTGTAAAATTTGTGACCGAGCCTTTACCACCAAAGGTAACCTTAAAACTCACATGGGTGTCCACCGAGTTAAACCACCTTTACGAATACTTCATCAATGTCCAGTTTGTCATAAACAGTTTACCAACGCATTGGTATTACAGCAGCACATTCGTATGCATCCAGTACACTTGTTTGCCTCCGAGGTGAGCAAACAAGCTTCATCACTTTTGCCAAACTCTTTCCACTCTGGAAGGTCACCTTTCATGTCACCCGCGGCCGCTGTTGCCGCAGCTGCCGCTGCAGCAGCCTCAACCGGATCAGCTTCAACCCCTTATGCTCCCATGGAAGATATGCTTTTATCCTCTGCTACCTCATCATCGACCAGTGGTGCTCTTGATTTAACCCCTCGCAATGGATCCTCTTCATCTTCCGTCTTCTCGGCAGCCGCAGCAGCAGCAGCAGCCTTTGGTATGGGCCTGGGTCAAGGCGGTCTAGGTTTACGTTTACCAACCCTTTCCTCTTCCTCACTCCGTTCCTCACCTTCGCCCTCGTCGTCCTCGATTCGATCATCATCTCCACCCTCTTCGCCCTCACCATCACCACTTGCTTTACGTTACCATAGACGAAGCTCATCCCACCATTCATCTCGACTCAATGCTACACCACCAACCACAACGGGTCCAATTTATGGTTCATCATCAAACCCAAGTGCTGGACCATCGACGCCTCCAGCTTATCCAATGGAAGACATGGTTTCATCGAACCTTAGGTCATCATCGACAAGCGGTGCACTTGATTTAACTCCTCGAAATGGTTCAGAACGAGGAGGTCGAAAAGAGGATCGAAGAGGAGAAGGAGAAGAAAGTGCTGGTGGAGTCGACATGAGTTCGCCTCGTTCCTCTCCTTCACCCTCCTCACCTCGTTCACCCTCACCTTCACCATCATCTTTATCGCCCTCACCACTTGCTCTCGGTTACCATCACCAGTCTCACCACTCTCATCACCCACACTTGCCGAAGAAACAAAATATACCAACAACTTCCACTCCAACCTCATTACCTTTAACCTCTCCATCAAGCTCAGCTTCAACCTCACTCTCAACTTCCAGCTCAATTAAACCTTCAAGTTCATCAAGCAGACCAGTTTCAGCAGCAGCAGCAGCCGCAGCAGCAGCCGCTGTGGCCGCAGCCGCAGCATCAGGTGGACTTCATCCAAGTCGATTATTTAACTCGCCCTTTCCTGGTCTACAATTTCCAACTGGTCGACCCAATACAACTTGTCAAATTTGTTACAAAACCTTTGCATGTAATTCAGCCCTAGAGATTCATTATCGATCACACACCAAGGAGCGACCCTTCAAGTGTTCAATTTGTCAACGAGGCTTTTCAACCAAAGGTAACATGAAGCAACACATGATGACCCATAAATGCCGTGATCTACCTCCAGGACTTTATACAACTTCCCTGACAAATTACAACCATTCAACCTCCAATTCATTTACCGGAAATGCTTCCAATCAAAATAGCAACTCAAGTAACCATAGTCAATGTAAGTACTTAAAAGCAAATCAAACACATTAAGCCCCAAAAACCTCAACAATTTCATTGAACAAAAATCGAAACTGCACAAAAGCCGATCAAAAGTAAACTCCAAAAACTCAACAAACCAAAATCCGAAACAATTGAAACGAGAAAAAAAAACAGAACAATTTGCAAAAGCATTTTCCTTGATAAGCTCATCATTTGAACTCGTATTTGAATTTGAGTTTCACTTTGTTTTTCATGGTAAAAGGCAGCAAAAAAAGTTGAACAAAAAACCTATGAAAGTCATCATAACTATAAGAAGCAAAAGATGTAATTGAATAAAGAAATGGAAAGAAAAGAAGAGAAAAAAAAGTGAATTTGTCCCCAAAATAGGTATTTATTGCAGGTTGAGTTGAATAAGATGAAGAAGCGAAATAAACAGGAAAAGATGAAAAAAATGATCAATACAAATGTGGCCTTTACAATATAATTTTCAACGCTTTCATGATGTCTTTTGAGATAGTTACAGTGATAAAAATATATCTACAAGAAAAGGATAGAAACCTTTTTTGTCTTGAAAGTGAAAAAAGCGTATATTTTGCTTCTTTTTCAACATTTTTTATTCTTTGTTTTGCTTCACTTTTTTGCCTCTTATTTTGCTTTCCATCTTCATCTTTTCTCTTCCCTTCTCTTCATCACTTTTCATCTTCTTATTGTAACCTTTTTGTCTTCATCTTCGCCTCCAACAAGTTACATAAAAAAGGCGAGCAAAAAGAGCGACAAAATGTCATAAATATTTATTTTATAAGAAAATCTATTTTTTCTCCTTTTTTTTCGCTCTTTTCATTTTCTTTATATCAACTCATTTCCGTTCATTTTATTGTTGTTATCAAACAAACATTTTAAGATATAAAATGAGTTTCCAAATAATGTTAACACTTTCATTGAATATCTTTTCACCTTTTTTTCCCGGACAATTTCTGGTTCGATTGAGAAAATTTCATTTCTGAAACAATCAGCAAAATTTTCACTTTTCTCATTTTCGTTTCAATGAAAGCTTCAGGTAAAAATTATTTCCTCCAAGTCGAGTTTTCGCTAATATAATTTATAGTTTCAAGCAACATTTAAATGTGAACTTGAAATGCTGCCCAGTTAATTTGCTTGTTGATGGATAAAATTGACTCATGTAAACTGTTGATGGATTGAAATGGCACTCATATGGATCCATTAATAGGGTTTCACTGTCAATCATTTTTGGTTCACCTTTTTATTGTCATATTATTGTACTTATCAAAGTCAACAGTTAATAGTGTGACAAGAGGAGAGGCAAAAATACGGGAAAAATGGTGTAAAAAGGCAAATCTATTAAAAGTGAAAGGAAATGTTGAGCAAAAACAAAATGATAAATGAATGGTGTGAAAGCAAATCAACAAATATCTCTATGGAAAAAGCTCATATTTTTGAAACATTTTTACAATAAAAGCAGGAAATTTAGAGCAACATTAAATAGCTTCTTATCTTGTGAATATAATAGATTTACCATTAATTTTGACACGTCAAGTTGGGTATAAATATACATCTAACTGTATATCATGTAATCATTAACCATTTCAGATGAAATTATTTAAATTGCCTTTGAGCTTCAATTGATCTTCAATTGAGCATTTTAACCAGTTTTCACTGTTGAAACCTTTTTTTCAAGGCAATAATCATTTGGATTGTATTAATGATAATTTATCGACTTGTTTCCATTAGATTTAAATGTTCTAATATTTTACAATTTTAATGATTTGCTCAACATTTTAAACTCGTTTAATTATAATTTCAAGTTGCTTTTAAATTGTAATCATAATTATAATATTATCCCTCAATTCATTGGCTTTTTTATTTTTCAATGTTCCCCCATTGTTTTTGCGCTTCTTTTTCATCTTTTGTTTTCAATTTACAGCTAAACCTTTTCATCTTTTGTTTGTTAATCATTTGTTTTTATTTTAATTTCATTATTCATCTAATTTATACAATTTTTACCTATTTATGTGACTATCTGTCAGTTTAAGTTATTGTCCTGTTTGCTTTGACATTTTAACTATGTTTAAACAGTCTAAGTTTACTCTACTGGTGTCTTTGTTTGAATGGTGTTGCTACCTTCTGACTGGTTTTCCCTTCAATTTGCATATCTTAATTGTTTAATTGTTTGTGAGTTATCACCTTTAACCTTGAATGAATTCTTTGCGACCCCAGCTGAGTTGGATCAACTTGTTGTCTCTTCTGTTGCTCAAAAAGGAACTTGTTGGACCATTTTGCCCAAAGTCAGGTTCAAGCAAAATGTCTTTATGGGTTAAACGTCTTATTTTAACCAAGTTAAATGGATGGTGTCATTTCCCAAGCTCCATGCTGTTGATGATTTTCAATGGGTAAACAATTTCCCTCAAGTCCATGACAATGGTTTGGAAGATGATTGAAAATAGTAAATTTAATGAATTGTGCAACATCAACAATTTATTATTGTCAGAGTTACATGGCTAAAAATTGAATCTCAACTCTACTTGGTGTAAAATGGTCCTTATTATTACCATACGTTTAGCTTGCAAACCTTTCAAACCTATTAGCTAGAGTCATCTAACTGACGACGACCTCTCTTCAGCTAAATTTCTGGCGACTCTTCCTCAAAGTGTAATTATATTGTTTCTAAATTTGACAAAATTTCACAAATTGAGCCATTTTTAATTGCATTACTTCGACTTCTTTCTCTTTTCTCTCTCCCTCCTCATCTTCACTTAATTTTCTTGCTGTAAGAGGAAAATGGTTGAAATACTGATGGAATACTCAATCTTGGAAAACTGTTAACCCTGTTGAACGAGTTTTCAATGGCTTGGAATAATCTGACTTGTTCTAACTCTTACCATCTCTAACCATTTAGACACATCATGGTGGTGATGATGATTGTAACAATTATAATCATCATGAACCTTATTAAATTTATCATTCCACTGTAACCATATTAAGAAGTGGAAAGAAAATTATGATGAAGAAAGGTTATATCATCATGGTTATTGCTCGATTCTTGGTACTATTATTACATGTAATTAGAGTAATTTGATATGAAAGTTTTTGTTTACAAGGTTATTATCTATTTAATGATCCAAATAAAAGGAGATGAAGATAGATAATAAAATAAATATCTATATATATAATATAATATACAGATGCTACTGCTGTATCTTATATTAAATTTGTTTTAATAAAACATTGATTTGTCTCCTATTCCCTCAAACTTAACCTTACAACTCTTTCCTTTCCCATTCTAACTAATCTTGATACATTATATCAGCTAAAATTTATTATTATCACAATCAAAACAAGCCTAACAATTTCAATCTACATTCATCATTATTACTCCTTTTAATCCATTATTTTTAATACATAAATAGGTATTAACCAAGCCCATACTAACCCTAACTAACAACATCTTCTGTTAGGTGCAATAAATTTTTCATAAAAACAAAAACTTTCTAATCCGTCTTTGATTACATTTAACTATTGCTTATTAGAGCAATAAAAATTGTTCAATCTTGTAATCAAAATGGACTAAATTGTACATTTGTGTGTGTGTGTGTCTGTTCACACGAATATGTTAACTGACATAATATAAGTATAAATATATAAATGTGTGTATAGATGGATAATAATATACAAATATAAAGTAATATATCAAATTACTTGACCCAGGGTTACCATTTCAATTACACCAGCTTCACAATATAATGTATTATATCTTGTTATACAGATTCACTTTTTATCTTCATCATATTATTTATTGAATAATATCAAGTTACTTGAAAAACATTTTAACTTTGCGATCTTTTCCTTCTCTATTCACATTTATATAAATATATTTATCAACATGAAATGGTAAACAAATTATTTTATATGCATCTTTTTTTCTGCTGCCTTTCATCTTTATCATCATCTTTCTTCATCACCAGATAAAATAATTAGCTTATGTAGAAAATGTTTCAACAAAATTGAGATTTGTTTGTTTGATTTTCAGCAAAAGCAAAATGTTTCTCTTGACGGTTTGTGCAACTTGAAAGGGGTTTAGGCTTGTTAACCTTTTTTTATCAAATATTTGCCATGTTATTTCAAGAAATTAATTTTTCTCTTTTTCTTCTCTTTCACAGTTAACGGCAAAGAAATAAAAGATGAAAGTAATGCAAGCAATTCAAACATGTCCACTGAATCTGGACCCGTTCATTCCATTGGTGACAATGAAAATTCTGGACGAGGAGAAATGTCCAAGTGTAATTCATCCAATGGAGAGACAACCTTTGAAGAAGGAGGTGAGGAAGAAGGCGATGGTGAGGAGGTTGGCGAGGAAGATATCGATGAAAGTAAAAATTATGGTGGACACGATGATCGGTTGTTAAATTCAGTGGCTGGTGGAAATGCACAAACTTCATCCCCAACCTCGTCAATCGGTTCATCTTGTTCCCTTTTACCTCATCACCACTCACAACGAACCTCTTCTTCTGCTCCACCTGGACCAGTTCCGTCATCTTCATCATCCTCATCTTATCCTGGAACAGCACCAGCCTCATCTTCATCATCTTCATCTCGATCATCAAATAGTTGCAAACACGTTTGCGAGAAATGCAATAAACCTTTCTCAAGTCACAGTGCATTACAAATTCACATGAGAACTCATACCGGTGATAAACCCTTTAAATGTCAAATTTGTGGGCGACCTTTCACCACCAAGGGTAACCTTAAGGTTCACATGGGAACTCACGTTTGGAACAATGGTTCATCACGTCGAGGTCGAAGGATGTCAATTGATTTACCCAATTTACCGGTTCCCCCATCAACACCATATTTTCCATTCCTGATCTCACAATGAAAGACAAACAAAAGACTAATTTAAATTGAAAATTAATCAAAAGAAGACGAGGCGCAAAAAAAACATTGGACAAAACATTGAAATTTAAACTCAAGTTTCAAAAACGGAAAACAAGAAATTACGAGAAAACGTGTAAATCATTTTTAGTGGAATTAGGCAATTTCAAGGATTCAAAGGGTAAAAATGGAGCAAAATTATGATTTTTGATTTGTAATTGAAAGCAAAAGATGTTTAGAAAAACAAAAATGATATCAATAAGAGGAGAGAAATGATGAAAAATTATACAAAACATGGACAAACAAACAAACCAAGCAACCAAGCTTATTCTAATTAACATTATTATTATTATCATTGGTATAATAACAGCAAGTGAAACAAAAATTGATCATCAATCACATTTAATTTTAACTCTATTGGAACTCATCAATCATCAATTTTAACCTCAATCTCTATTCTCATCAACCAATTCAACTTGAAAGCTCATCTTTAAATCATACCATTAGAAAAAGCTAACAAATTCAAAGGACAACAAAATCAAACGGAACATAAACTGCTGATGATTATCCATTCATCACCATCATCTTCATCATTCTCATCATTTATAGCCTCTTCTTCTTACTTGATCATCTTCTGCTCATCTTTACCAAACTTCATTCAACTCTAATCTCACCAGTTGAAATATATTAAAACAAAGGAAAACAAAAAATGAACCATTTTACGTTGTTTCCATCATTTTTGTCTATTGCTCGTCATCATCATCATCACCTTTCCCAAGAAACAGACAAAAGCAAAAGACCGACTCAATTGGAAATGTCAAACACACCTTATCTTACCTGTTTCACATCATCTTCAACTATTCCGCTATATTTGTTTCTCTTCACGATTATAATATGTTATATAATTTAGGATATAATTTATACTATCATTTCTTCTTCTTCCCTCTTCTCTTCTTTCCTTTAGGGTTGACAAATTATCATGTACTGTGTTATTAGCTAAAATAAACTGTGTTAATATTGGCTTCCATCTATTTCCATCTTTTTTTGCTTCTTGTTTCGTGTTCACTTTAATAATCTCAATGTGTATGTTGTGATATTTTTTATGTGCAATACTTGACATTTTTATGTTCACAGTAAATCATTTTCATTGAGTTAATTAACATTTTTCAACACCATTTTTCCCATTGAAAAGTACAGTGAAGAAGTACATTTTGGAGAAAGTTAAAACACATTTGGTCAATTAATTATTACAATCACTTTTACAACACATTACAAGTTAAATAGCTACTCTACAATTAACAATAATAACTAATACAGTTATGATAATTGCACGAGTCAAGAGTGAAAGTAAATCAAAAAAAGGCAAAAGTAAATGGTAATAAATTGTTCCGGATCAGTTGTATTACAAGTGTATAAACAGTGAAAATTGGCCAACTAAATTGCAGTTGATTGTTGACGATGAAATATCAGCAATTCAGGTCAATCAGAAGCGACCATTTTTTTCAATGAATACAAATATCAAAAGCAAAGTGTAAATCTTTCAATTTCATGTTGATTCAATGGACCAACATTTGATCCGTTTAATCAGTGAAAAGCACTCTTGTAAAGACAGACAACAAAAAACTAACAATTGTAACAATTAGTGTAATCAACTAGTAAAAGTCAATTGAAATTATGAACCAATTTTCCAGTTTTACTTGAGATTAACCATTTTAAGGTTGATTATCAAATGCAATTGTCAAATCGGTAACAAATAGAGTAATCATTGAAATGGTTACCAGCTGACATTATCAATCATTCACAGTTGAAAATTTAAATTGTTGGCCAAGTTAACCCAATCTAATGAGTTAACAATCCTTTGCCATTTCAAATCAGGCGAAAGTAGCAGCAAAATTTCCATCATATTCATCTTTATCATCTTAACATGTTTTGCCTGGAAATGTTGAATAATGCTGACTTTTCATCTCTTTCTTGGTAACCTTAACAATTCATCTTGCTATTATCCTTATCGTTAACAGTTAATGAGCTGAATAACTCTGTTAAAATAGGCTAATAATGGTAATCATAATAAGATGAAGAGTTGAACAAGTATTTTGAGTGACGATTCGCTCCTGTAATATAACAGTTTAAGGGATGATTGATTGAATCTATTCGCATTCTATCAGCTTTTGGCTTCATTTTTGCATCAACCATTTAATCTTTTGTTATTCACTTTCATCTTCGTCATCAACTGTTGTTGCTTTTACAGAAAACCATTCGCCATTTGTCCTTGGACAATGTAATATATTGACAAAAGTAAAGCTGCAAAAAAGAATCTCAATTATGATAATTATTCCAATGGTGATAGACAGAGTTGGAGAAACAAAATTGAGATGTTCATCTGTTGGAATCACATTTCTTGTATGTTCATCATGTAGAGAGAGAGAGAGAGAGAGAAATGCTATCAATGAACTACTCGTAAAAACTAGACAATTTAATTCAAGGTGAAAATTATTTCAACATTTTATGGATGATTTCAATAGATCGTTCTGGTTTAGCTGATGTGCAAATGTAATCAAAATAACATTCATTGTTGAATCATCAAGCCCATTAAACCAGAATTTATGAAAATTCAACTTTGATTTTGAAAGCTTCCACAATCGAAATGAGTCTTCAGTGCTAATTTGAGTCGCAAAACTGAAAAATTCATTTGAATCCATCATTTGCATGATAAATTTCAAGATTCATTATTTTATTATAGCTTTGAAAATGAGGCAGCTAACGCCATCTAGAGTTAGTGGGAAGAGGCATCAAATTTTTCTCTAGTGACATCTAGTGAGTTTGAATCACACTAGTTTAGTTCACGCAAATCTTGCCCAGAATTCAATGGGAAAAGTTGACTTTAAATATGTTAAGCTCTCGGCTTTAATTATTGATCAATTTTTTGCGAAGCCAAATACCACATCGTTTTGGCAGTAATCAATTCACATTGAATTGTATTTTTCAAGTTTAATCAACAGTAAAATGCATAAAAGTTGTAATAATCATTAAAATTATCAATTAAACTCCTTTTTTCAACATTTTCAAAGGATAAATAAAAAAGGAGTGGTGGAGGTGCAACGGAAAATCGAAGTGATCTGTTGCACAGAAACAGAGAATTTTATTTCCCAAAATAAGTGCATTTTCTGATTGGCTATCAAAAGTTATATTAAAAAAATAAGTTTGATGAAAAAATCTTATTCCATAATTGAACAGAAGGCGATCGAAGTTTTCACTTTGACCTCGATTTTCTCGAAAACTGTCGATCTGAGAAATTTTTTAATACCACTAATGGACTGAGTTTTCATGGGCCTACAAACCTACAAAGTCCTCACTCTTAACTCGAAAGTCAGATTTTTTACCACCACTCCTTTACTGAAACTCACGAAACCAGTTTTAACAATTTATTTTTGATTTTCAGTTAATTTTGTATGTTCATTCCAAACGAACATGTTAATGTTCAAATTGAACTGTTTAGTAATGTGTTTATTTCTAGTTTAATCACATTAATTCCATGGAAATAATTAACACCAACAGTGGATAAATCATCTATAATCACAATCGTCATAAGGTTTCTATCTTTCAATGCAATTCCAATCAGAGCAAGTAACAAGTGCTCAGTCTATTTTTACTCTAGATTAGTCTACATGTAGATGATTGAGATCTATTAATGAACCTTTTTAATTAACCTTATAGTTTCAATAAAATGTAAGCATGTTTTAGACGTTAAGACTTCCTACATTTACTTTTATGGTTATTTACATCTCTGCTTTGAAAACAAGCTTACAGTTAGTATTGAATAATCAGTTTCAATATTGTGTTAATCAATATGTTGGACACATTACAAAGTGACTTAAATGCCTATTGATTTTACAGAACCTAAAAGACAGAAACATGATTATCTAAACATACTTGCATATAATAAACCAAGTTTTAGATGTTATTGTTAATTGATTCAATATCTCATTCAGTTTCTGTTTCAGAAATACTCAACTAGAACTGATTCATTTCAATCATCTCAACATCTTACTTAACTTTCTCTGCTAATACTTCATCAAGTCTCTAATAAAATGGCGATGAGTCCAACAATTTTTTACTGTTGATGGACTGACATCAAGTTTACCCAACTAAAGGCAATAATAATTTACTAAAGATTCAAAATGCTATTAGTTAAATGTTAATTAAATGTTAATAGTTAATCTCGATTAAATTTGAAACAAGCTGACAAATTCGTACAAAGATTTAGGAATTTATTGTTTTTGCGATGTTAAATACTTTGTGATAAAACGCATTGAAATACAGTATTAATTTGAAAGTCACCGAGTAATGTAATCAAATGATGTGTGCACCGTATAAATTGAAGTTAAATGGCCATTTCCTGAGGTTTCAGTTCTCATGGATGAATCAATGTTGGCAACTCTATCACCTCGTCTGGTCAAACATCGTCTCAACGAAGTAAACAGTTTCTTCCTGAACTTGGATGACATGAGGCAGTAAACAATAGGATTGAGACAACTATGAATAAAGGGCAACAGAAAGAATACAATTCTAAATATGTAAACAGGTTGAGTGAATGAGGTTAAGCAGCAATTTATGATAATTTCAATCACAAGTCGCGGTCCCCAGCAAATGAGAAACAAAATAACCACCAATATCAACATTTTTATGACCTGTGCAACAAGAAAATAAAACAAAAACAATTTAATAAACTTTTAATTTTTAGATTCCTAACTAATCTACTCACCTGTTTTCTTGCCGACTTAACATCTCTAGTCTCTTGAGTAGCATGATGACTCCTCAACATTACCGCATGATTATTGGGCGATGAACAGGCATCTCTACTGATGCTTGCTCGAGACTCGGTTCGGTGTGAAGTTCGCCTGAGAAAAAAGCAGAAAAGAAAATTAACAAAAATTTCCAATCGAATAGCGAAAATTTCTTTACATGTGATTAGTCAGATCGTCCATGGTTTTAGTCGATATCCAAAGTTCAATAATAACCCAAACATACGAGGCAATCATGAATACAGATGGAAGAGCAAAGAGAAATATAAATCTGTAAATGTTCAGGTTAAGACCAGTTTGATCACTTGCACCTTTACACCGATAAAGGCTGATTGTTACGTTATGATTGGTAAAGGTGGACTTTTCAACTTCCTTGAGAAACGAACGAGAAAATGACAGAAAAGGTGTTCATTAGAAAGGAAATTATGAATAAAATTAAATTTACCTTCAAGTATATCGTAGGTGTTGCTAGGAGAAGTGCTAATATCCAGACTGTGATTACAAATTGTTTACAATTTTCCATGGTACAGATTGATCGGGAACGAATTGGAAAAACTATAACTACAAATCTGAAGAGAAACAATTGAGTTAAGGGGAAAATTAATTTTCATGCAAACCAACCTTTCAAATGTAACAGCAACCAAGTTGAGGACAGAAGCAAATGCTGAAACTGATTCAACATAAGACGATAGTTTACAGACGGTTCCATCGCTGTCCCATTGAACCACAAAATAGTGGGCAATCTCAAGTGGACCCACAATGGTAAGTAAAAGTAGATCGGAAATGGCCAAACTCACCAAGAAAATGCTTGTAGCACTGAAAGGAAAAGTGGAAAAGGTAAAGTAAAAAATTGCTGGGAAACATTCAAACAGTATTACTCAATCAAATCAAATCAAGTTCAAGAGCAAAGAAGAAAATTGAACCTTTTGCTCTTCTTTTCAATCGTCTGTTCAAGTTGATTTCACTGGAAACACAATTATCATGATAATTGGTAGGATAAGGGTGATGCGTGCTTGGGTTAATGTCAATAGATGAAAGGTAAACAAGTAAATTAAATGTGAAGTGAATCATTAAAAATATGATTACTCTTGAAAAGAAAAGACGAAAATAGTTAAACCATGAAAACATGCAAAAGTATTTGAACCTTATTCCACTCACCTGTGATTAGCTTTGTCACCAAACATGAACCAGATAACCACACTGTTTCCCGAAACTCCAAAAATAAAGGTTAATATGTTGGTGATGACGGTCGGGAAAAAGTATGCATTATGGAACCAGGGAAGCAAAACTTCTTCTGGCCGTTGATAGTAGATTCGAGTATCGAACTCGTCTTCCTCTGAATTGTTGGTTTCCTCATTGGAAGCAGGATAATATTGTTGATTGGAAAGGTTGATCAGATACTTGAGGATGGTTTCATTGGTTGCCAGTGAAACGGCTGAAGAGGCCAGGAATGATGAATTGGGTAAAGAATGAAAATCACTTTCTATCGACATTGAATTAAACATTGGAAGCATAAAAATCTATCGAAATGGACACTTTTAACGAGAACATCTCATTAGACAAGATAAACGCATTCTCAATGAAACTTCATTTCTTTCATTAACATGATAATCAAGTTTCACATTCAATTAACTCTTCATTATCTTTTCCTTTTGTCTTCCCAGGTTCGTCGCCAAAGATCAATCTTGATTAAAATCAAAGTTTAAATCAGTTAAACTTGAACAAACTTTTCCACCAAATGAACCAAAGAATGGAAATTTTGGCTTCCTTTGCTTCTTAACATTCAAATGAGTAAACAATGAAACAAACAATAGTTAATTTAATCACTTGACACTTTAACGACACTGAAAGGGTTGAGAAGAAAACAAATGTCCCGATGAAATTGACTTTCAATTGATATTAAACTTGAATCCAGCTTTCGCTTCCAGGCAAGTTACCGATATGATTTCAATAAAAGAATGATTTTCTAAGTTTGGTTTCCAAGAGAAAATATGGTTTTCTGTTCATCTCATGGTAATAATCCTTTTCGATATTGAATTGTTCAATTGAAATTGGAGTGAACTTGAAAAGGGAAAACAGGAAAGACACAAACAATGTGAGGAAGGAAAAAAAAGTGAAACTGATTTTTTCCTCAATGGATTTCACTTTGAAGAAGAAAAGAAGTCAAAGGAAGGCAGCGATTTCATCTGACATGATATTCTGACTGGGATTGGGAAACTAAATAGAAAGATGGAAAAGTAAATAACCATGAGCATGTCAGGTTGAATACAAAGTATCAACAAGTCAATATCTTTATCTCATCAGTTTAATTCTGTTCACTTGAATAAAAAACAATTATCTTTTAATGAGAAGTTAGTTTGTGAATCCATTAACTTGTATTTACCCTCATCATCGCAATTTGTGTTTCCTCAACCTTTTCTCAACTCTTTTCACTCTAATTACATTAATTTTATCATTTCTTTGAAAAAACAAATTCCATGTTTTTCGTTCAATTATTCATTTTTATCAGAGAAAATTTGGTGACCAAAAATGTTCAATCAATCATTGAAAGGAGCCAAAAAATCGAATCAATTTTTGAGTGAAAAAACAAAATTCATTGCAAATCAAGTTGACTGTTAACTGCAATCATTTGGAGTTACACTTAAATTAATTGCTTTTTAAAAACTAATTTTCAATCATTAAACGCTAATCTTTTATTTAATCAATCGCAAGGGTAAAGAGTTGATGATGTTGATGATGAACTAAGTGAAATCAATTAAATTAAATGGTAAAATAACTAAATTTAATCCTTTTACAATTTGCTTGTTGAGAGTTTGATCAAGGGAATGAACAGAGAAAATCTTTAATCTCGATTCTCAAAGTTCTAGCAATAACTTTTTTTACGAACCAAATTTAATTTAATCTCAACTGATGAAGTCGACTTTCAATGTTTGAAGAACAACTTTTTTTCCAAAAAAGTAGAAAAAAAGTCAATCGAAACATTGAATGAAAAGAAGGAAAAGTTTGGTGAAAACCCAATTTTCCCAGTTAAGCCACAAGTCTAATGTGACAATCTTTGGATTCCTCATTTTCATCCAATTTGGTTGAAATCAACTTTTTAAATCAAGATTGATAACTAAAAATGTATTTTTAAATACTTAAGTGACTTGGTTTAGGGAAGAGATCAACTCAAGAAGAAAAACTCAATTTCGTAAGTTTCCAGTTCATCAGTAAATTGCATGATAACTCGAATTTCATCTTTTCTCCTTCTTCTTCTCTTTTTTTCGTCTTCTTTCTGCTGATAAAATTCAATCAAAACAGAGTGAAACCGCAAAAACAAGATGCGGAAACAAAAGGCTAACTTGGTTAACTTGGATCAACAGAGACAGTTTCATCAGTTTCATCATGAATACCATTCATGTCATCTAACCCTGAAAATTACATTAAACCGTTTCCCTGTTAACCCAAAATTTTCTTTTCTATTCGTTAAATACTTTCCATCATCATCATCACTTTACTTTTCCTGATCAGCTTCCATATTCACTTTTATTCCCAGTTTTTTGTCATTTACTCAGTGATAAAGATAACCCAATTACTTGCTATTCTTGGTCACAGCAATGCCATTGTCATTGGATTGATGATAAAAGAAGCAAAGAAAAAAAAGAAAGAAAAAATAACCAAATTTAATGCAACAATATTCCGAATTTGTTTCAATGGATAATATCAAGTTCATCATTTAATCAGCAACATTATCCTCTCAATCCTGGTAACTGAATAAAGAGTGAAAAATGTTTCTCCAAGCTGTCAATGGAATCAATTTAACATGAAAATTGTTGCAATTGGAACATGAATAATGTTGAAAAGGGAAAAAGAAGATTTAAATAAAACTCCATTTTCAACTTTTCGCTTTTCCTATCAACAGTCAATTCAAATGTTGATATTTATGGTCATTTGATGCAACAAAAAGAGTCTAATGCATCATGTTGTTCAACAGATAATCATGCATCAATCTTCAAGTTCTGTCCACTTTACCTTCACCATCTTTAGATATTCCTTCAACTCCTTTGATTAAATTAACTTTCACTCCCTGTCAATCGAGAGATTAAAAGGCAATAAAAAACAGAAAAGTTGATTCCATTCGCGATTACGGGTCACGTTTGATCGAAAAAACAAAAGTTCTAATCACTGGAAAATCAAATTGCTCATTACAATAATTTATCTTTATCACGATTCCATAATCAGACAAAAGTGCGAGTTCAACTTTGCCTTTATAGCCTTTATAACCTTGATTGTAAATAGATAAATAATAAAAATAAATATTTCCATCAAGGGAATGAAAAGTTAGTTTATAAAGGTTTATACAATGCGATATGATGAAGTGATATAAAAGGTAAAAATATTTGAGTAAACAAAGGGAAGGAGAAAGCATTCAATTTCAATTGTAGCTTTGATTGAGTTGATCAGATTTCCTATTATAAAAGGTATTCAGGAAAAGTGTTTAAAAGCCAGTGAAAGGCTGAAAGGGATTTCAGTTGTAAAAATAAACTTTTCAAATCTGTAAATAAGAAAGTAAAAGAATAACAAAGAAATTTCAAATTTCCAAATAATGGCAACTCCAAGTGAAGGTAAAAATGTAATCACAATTAGAAGTGTCGCCCTGGTTTCACCAACTTCTTTTTTCTCGAATCTTGCTCAATATGAATTGATTGAATAATAAGAATAAATGGGAATTTAAATTATCATTCTGATAACAGGGAGTGAAATGATTGAGAGAAAGGAAAAGTCAGGGAAAGTGATGGAATAACGAAAAATTGAATTCTTTGATTTATCTCTGGATGTTTAATCATTCCTATCAATCCCTCTTGAGCACACATATGTTTATCCAATTCTCATGGGCTACCTTGACAACAAAAGAAAGAAAAACTTGGCAACGAAATTTTCCTTCTTTCATCATTTTCTTCACCTTCCTCCGTTCATTATGTTGATCCATTTTTCCCTGTTCATCTTGGATTTCATTTTCCATGAAGATTCTTTCATTATTTTCCAAGCTTCTTTTTCCTGGTAACTCATCAATAAGAATAGAAAAATTGTGAAATTGTCTTTCCATTTATCTATATTCGATCATTCGTTCGGACGATTTCGTATTTCATCTGATTTACTCTGTTCATGGAAACAATGCCTTTTCAAATTAAATGTTATCTCAAATGTTGTTTCAGTAAATGAAACGAAGGAAAACATTGAAAGCAATTATAATCTTTGAACAGTTTTCTTAACATTTTGTGACACTTTTTGTTCCTCTGCTTTTGCTTATTGAATAAATCATCATTTCATTCTTCAGAATGAAACATTTTTTTCTTCAGCATTTCCATATTTATCACTGAAACTTGATGCTAATATTATATGTTATAACAAGCTTTAAGCCTTTTTTGCTCTTCTCATGTGTTTCCATTAGAAATGTTATTCTGGTTCATTAAAAGTTGTTATTTCAAGTTGCATTTTCACTCGCAAACATAATTGCTTGTGCTTTAATCAAAACTTTGTCTGCTTTTTTGCTCCATTCTCCCGGCATCATTATCACTTGCATTCCCAATGATTTCATGAGCATTTCAATCATTTTACTTCATCAATTGAAAGATAATTATTTCAATTGAAACCTCAACAGGTTCAAGCACACTTGCAGTTTGTTTGCTTTAGCTACTGGACAAAATCGATAAATTGCTTTTCTCTTTTTTCAGATAAAATTTTCATCCAAACTGAAACAATTGCTTCTTTAATTTTATTCATTGGCCAGATTTATTCATGGCTGAACAAATTGACATTTGAACTTTCTTTTGATCTATTATCGCTTTGTTTCATTCAATATTAAGATTTATGCAAAAACAAAATCTTTTCAATCGCTTATTCATTCCAGTGAACCTTTCAACTTGGAATCGCTTCAAAGCTATAAAACAGCAAAACACACAACTCAATGTCATGTCTATGAACTTTTGAAAAAATGTCGAATTTCATTTTTCTTAGAATCTCAAATTTCAGTTACTTGTTCATTGTATTGATCATTACTTCATAATTGACTCATTTTCCAAAGAATTTATGAAACTTTGAATTACAAAATAACAGAACTTGAATGAAGTTAAATCATTTAAGTTGACACTGAAATTCGTAAAAAGAAAAATCTATTTGGGTGAAAATTTTCGATGAACCTGGTTCGATTATCTGATAAAAGTTGATGCTTTCCTTGCAAGTCACGTTTCCAATGGGAGAATGCAAAATTTTCAAGGTTATTGCAAGTCATTGATTCCCTGAAAGATTAAATGAATCCCTTGAAATCATGGTGACCATCGAATTTCAATGATTCAGCAAACTCCTTAAAGTGATAAATGTTTCATTGGTAATTGTTGGCCGTTATAAACACAAAATGTTACCGTTAAAAGTGTAATGGATGAACGAAAAGAACAAAAGTTTCCCTGAAACTGCAAGGTGCCTAATCGTATCCCTAATCCCATATTTAGTGGGTTATTTCATGTCTCATTGGATCAAGAGTTGAATGAATCTTGTTACACTGTTTTCCCTGTTAAACCTATTATTCCAGATTGGTTCACTTGTACTCTGTGTTACAGTTGACTTCAATTCTTGACAATCAACATTGAAAGGTGAACATGAAACACCATCAGGCTTACCTCAACTTAAGCTCAACAAAATTTCAACAGATTGAATAATTCTCAGAAAATCGTTACTTGATCAGCTTTTTGCACCTTTAATCCCATCGAATTTAAAATCAACTTTTGTTCCTGAAAAGGAAAAGAAAAGTTTACAAAAAAATATCTTGAGTTTCGCTGAAAATGCACAGATTAACAGGAATAGCTCATGACTACAGGAATCCCATTCAACTTGATTGAACAATCCAATTGAACAGATAACTTCAAATCGTTTAAATATGTAAGTTTAGTCTTTTGCTTTCGATTTTTATGCAAAATTATTTTCAACATTTTCATTGAAATTCACTTTTATTGTTAGTTTCTGTTGTAAATAAAGATTAATGATTCAAATGGCAAATATCAATTGTCGTCTTATATCATGCAATATCATAAAAACATGAACTCATCTTGAAAATATTCAGAAATTATGTTTATCATGGAAATGCAATAAAATTTTGAAACATTCATTTTCGCTAAGCATCAACGAAGTTGAATGAAAAAAAGATCAAAGGT